GTTTGTTTTGCTTCCTGCTCCTAGGAAAATCCTGTTACTCCGTGGACTACAGTAATTTTCACTAATGAATGGGAATGATTATGTGGTCTTTCTAATAATTAGGAAAAGGCCCTGTAAATAAGTCTGCAACTTAAAAGCACTAAGTTTTCAGTGTGTTTAAAAATAATACAAACATTCAGCAATATATAAAACAGTATCAAAATTCAAAGAAAACATGACGTGAAGCTGCTGCAAATACTTTGTGCTATATGGCTCTATAGGGAGAATTAATTATTTATTCTCATTGCAAAATTCCTGGAGATGTACCAATGTAAGTGTTATTGTAACTGCACCGTAATGGTTACGCCTGGACTGGATTTGAGCTAAAAGCTCTTGATCTTATTTTTAAAATTACTTATACCTTCTTGTGTGAAATTCTTAGTAAAAACCTCTGCCTATCTTCATTTAACTGTACACATCTCTGATCCAGCCATGCAGCTTGCTCTCTGAATTACGCTCCTCAGCGACATACAATTGGGACAATCATTTAGTGGAGTTCCTCTCTGTAATTTCATGCCCGACTGATGTGCCCTGGAGCCATCTTTATGTTCCTTTGATGATGAAGGCCATACAGAGAGCAGCCCCATGGCAAAATCCCAGCTGCCCTTGAGTATTGCCATTGGCTTCCAGAGTCTCACCCTAAGTGTGTTAACTCCATAACTAAGAACTGAGATAAGTTTAATTGTCTTGGGTGTTAAGCTGAGTTGTGGTTTATTTTAAGTGTGCACGGGGAGAGCTTCTTGAAGAGTGATTTGAAGAGGCAGAAAAAAAAAATGAGTGCACCCTTAGGAATGGCTGAACACAGCCTTCTTGCAGAGCTCCCATCCAGTTGCAGATGTTTAATGTTAAATTTAAATGTTATTACTTAATGAGCATAAGCAATTACTTAGCTAACAAGCACAACAAAGTGAGCACAAGAAATGTGTTTCATCCGCAGAGCCTGCTAGAAAGACATGGTTTTGAGCTTGAGGCTGCCCTTGCTTTAAAACCCAGGTCACTGCAGTGAGATTAATTCAAGGCATAAATCACAGGGGTTAGATTAGTGTTTGTTTTACTTGAATTCACATTTCTTTCTCTCTTATCTCCTCTAAATCTTGCAGCTTCTCAGCGCAGTCATGAACCAGAGAATGGAATGGGTTTAAACAGCCGCAATTTCCCTCCTGAGCACTGGCTGTTAGCCCTCAGGCTTGATTTACCACTGGAACGCAATTATAAAATGGCACAATGCAATTAATGTGTCTTCCCTCCCTTTTTGTGCTTAGACAGGAATTCCTCCTCCACCTTCTCTTATTGGAGTGATTTTATAATATAACCTAATCCAATGTAACTTCATTTGCATTAGTCAGGGGTCTGCCAGATGATGCTCACATAAGCAGTTGTTGTATATCCCAGCTAGGGATACTTCTGCATGTCTAGAACTATCTCTGTGCAAGTTCAGATTGCTCATGGGCTTTTTTTTCTCTTTTGTGGCTATGTTTTCTTACTTTTACATCTGACAATATAAGCAAAAATCCCCAAAGCAAACACAGAACGGATTTGCCGTATTTTTGTGCCATTGATCAAAAGCCATGTGAGCTCAGGACATTGAATTCGCTAGCAAGTCGACTTGCAGCCATCCTGATGTCAGTCTAGCTGATCATCCACAAACACTTCAAAAACGATATCTGACATCTGCCAGAGCTCTGCTCTGGCCTCTGAGTGTCATTTTGAGAGTAAGCCCAGAAAGCCAAGGTCTTAGCTTGTAAGGGCCCCTGTAGATATAACAGCAGATGCGCTGGGCCTGCAGGGGAAATGTAACTACAGCAGGGTGAGTCTCATCTTGTCATGTGTGCTCTGTAGAACTGCTGTGTTGCACGTTGTTTAAGAGGGTGCTGGTATATAGCACGTACTGATGAAAGCGATAGGGAAGAAATTTTCTATGTATGCCAGGCTAGGCAAAAGTTGCGGGCACCAGTGTTTAAATTAACGATAGAGCTGATGTAACTGGTAGTGGATTTTTTTATTATTATTTTTTTAAACAAGAACATGGTGCCATCAACTATTGCTAATTTTCTTTACAGTTTTCCTGATGTATTTCACTAAGCATTGAACACAGTTTTTATTTTACTCTTATAAATATATTTCTTTTCTTTATTACATACAAGGCTGGTTTCAAGCAGTCTGCAGGAAATAAGCAGTCTTACAAGTGTTTTTTGGTAACATTTTCATTAAAATTGTTGCCATTTTCGGAAGATTTTTTTTGAAGAGCGGAGTGGAGGCACATTAGAACTCTGTGAATGAAGAGGAAATATTTATTTCTCCTTCCTCATGAAGTAACTTCTCAGAGTTATGGCTGTTATTAAATTATATTGAAACTGTAGTTAAGCATTAAAACCAATTAGTAAATGGCATAGTCAACGTTAAGAACTCGTCCCGTTTTCTACAGTCTCACAATGACATAGATAATTTTTGCTCCTTGGTTTGGGCACAACGTTTTCACCTAGGTCTCTGTGTTACCTGGTATACCCCAGAAAGGAAGCCCAAGAGGTTTAATTCATGTGGAAAATACAGAGTAAGCAATAGCTGCCAAAAGTGAGAGCAGAACGAGACAAAGTAGGAATATGTAAAGGCTGCCTACGTTCTTCGTTCTCTGAGGCGGGTAGGTTATTGCCTGTGCTCCTGGTGTTGTGCCTAAGGACGGAGGAACAAGTGCTGCAGAGGCATTGAAGCTGAGGTTTTCAAAGAGGCTTCTTGCTGACCTAACTCAGCTGCTGTTGAAATCCACGGTGGTTTTCCCCCTGGTTTTAACAGCACCCATTAGGCCATGCTGAAGGCTTTTGAAAAGTCCCACCCATGTGGCATGAACACGTTTGCTGACCAAAAACCTGGGTCTGCTGCCTTTGAGGGGACAAATCTTCCCTTGTGGGAAAGAAAACTTTTGGGGTATTTCTTTCTTCCCTTTACTTCATGTTCTTAGCACTGCTTAGGCGTATACACAGTCATGACTGTCCATTACCAGCAAGTCCTTTCAGGTATGCAGTCATTTGGAGAAGATTTCTTGCCATATGCGAAGCACTTAAGAGTTGTCACAGTTGTTCTTTGCCTTGTGAGATCAAAAGAGGTATCTATGTAGAAATCTTACTTAAATTCCTTTGCAACTCATTGGATTTTGCATTAAAAATTAAATTTCACATACTGAACGGACAGTCAACCCTTATGAGCCTCGTAGAAAGAATATGCTTTTCCTATATATTTTAACAGCGCGGCTGAGAGGGCTAGCAGCTCCCCAGAATGCTCCCAGGCTCCTCCTTCAGTATTCACCTTTCAGCCTTTCCATCCATACACCCTGCATTTTGAAATGAGATGCCTGCATTTTATTAGCTTTGTGCCTGGAAAATAACAGCATATGTTTTCGGTTCCCTAGAAAAGGCCTAAATTATCTTGGTTTAAACTTTAAAATAAAAGTCAGACTTGCGGCAGGCACAAATTCTTGCATGCGTCAACGCAAAAGGTGAATGCTTTCGGAAGTTATGAGCAACCACAGATGCAGTTTCAAATTGCAAGCGAAACTGGAAGAGCTGTTGCTCCTGTTGTTCTGTGGGTGACTGATTCAGAGTTTCAACGCTAGAGACAGCATACATTATATAATTCATTCATTATATTCTATATATTACATTATATAGACTCCAAAATAGATGGAGATTCACTGAGGCAGAGAGACAATTGATTTGGATCGTGGTACACAGAAGGAAGGGCCTTTTCATTAATGGCGCAGGGAAAAAATTATGGGAAAGTACAAATATGAAGGTAGGTATAAGAAAAGGGAACAGACAAAAGAGACCAGGGAGTCCAGGGGAATTTCTGAGAGAGGATTTTCCGGCGCCTCCTTGTAAGTGAAAATTAATCGTTCTGGGAACGGCATTCGCAGCTCCGTGTAGCAGGGGCTTAGCAAGGCCGGTGAATTACCTCGCTCTGGGGTCTCAAAATGCTCTGACAGGTTCGTGTGTCTCAGGCAAACATTATGGTGATTTTAGCGCTTTAGGGGCTCTACAGGAGTATATAAATACCACCTCAGCCGTCCAGCTGATCTTAAAACTTAATTACTGCCCTGCTTGATAATATTCCCTCTCCCCATTTCGGCTTTAGAGGATCATTGGTTTTAAAAAAAAAATCATTAATCTTTCTTAATGAAGCAATTTTCTAGCAGGAGACAGAGTGTCTTGCCCCTGTGGATTCAGAGATGGAGTTTTTATGAGTGTTATGAATGGGGAAGTGAGAAGCGAGCGTTACAGCAAAAGCAGTGCGAAAAGGGGATAGTACCCCCAAACCCTCTGACTCACAGGCCCTTGCTGAGTTTTAGCTAAAAGGAATGCAAAAGTCATGGGGGGAAGAAGAGCGAGCCCTACTGAAAACTGACTTAAGTCGGCTGTAAAACAGTATTCCCACCACAGCTACTAATTATTAGAACGCCAGTAATTGCCAAAGCTTTTCTATAAGTGACACAAGAACTCTTTTAAAGCACGTGGTTGAAACTGTGATTCTCCGGAGATATCAAAAGCAGAACGGTGGTGGCAGAGCTTGGGCCTCTGATTTTAACCGCCAAGTCTGATCCGCGTCCTCAAAGTTGCCTTTCCTGGGACACGCTCCTGAGACAGCACTGCCTTAACGCTAGGCTTAAATTGTGTGCGAGCGCTTCGAAATCTCTGTGGGCAGCTCAATGCAAAGCTGTCTGTCTGTACATGCAAAAGGGAAAAGAAACCGTTTGTGTTAAAGTAGTGTGAGTTTTGAGCCTCTCTGAGCCCAGCAAAATGAAGTAGTTCCCGTGATGCCCCGTGAAGCGCCGGGACCTGCTGCGTGCTCGGGCCGGTAAGGATCGCCTTGCCGTCCTCGAGCTTGTCTCCGTTCGGCGAGCCCTTTGGGAGATACTAAGGTGTTTTGTTTTTCTGTTTCTTGTGCGTGCCTGTGCGCATCTCCTGGCGTAGAAGATGCTGGATGAGTGCCAGGACCGACGGAGCTGCCAGTTTCTCGTCAACAGCCGGCTCTTCGGCGCGGATCCGTGCCCGGGAACTGGCAAATACCTCATCGTGTGGTACAAGTGCAGGCCGAGTAAGTATCTCTCTATCGAATCTGTTTGCTCTGGCGAGACCAAAACCATTTTCTGATTAATGCTTGGCAGCGAGGCCTTCTAGGACATTTTGTTCTCTCCCATATTTGTTTGCAGTGTAATGTAACCCCCTTGGGTGCAGAGCGCTTCCCCTCTCCCCCTCACTTGCTGCGTTGCTGTTACACCGCTTCTCCAGCTCTTTCCTTCTGGCCGCAGGTCCGAATGGAGGATTGTTTTTGCAGGTGCCTGTGAAAGCTTTTGCCAATGCTTAGCTCACGCTGCCCTGTAACACTTTTGGCTTGCTCTGGATGCCATCCGCAGTGGTTCTCATCCCGGTGGGCTGGCGGGACTCGCGCCCTCTCGGCCTGCCCCGTAGTGGGAGTGGGACTGCGGCAGCGTTGTGACAGCGGCGGCGGCGGCGTGATGACCTGTGCGGGCAGACTTTTTGGACACCAGATCCTAAGGCAAGCACTGAAGATGGAGGTGTGATGGGAAGCTCACCTACCTGTGCCATGAAATATAAGCTAGCTTTTAATTGCCCCCGTGTCAGGCTGGGAAATGCTCATCTATGTTTTCAGTGATCTCATTAGCTCTGTGTAAATTAAACAAGGCCTGTTTACAGGGAACCCCGGGAAGTAGTTACTCTGGTGTGGTTTTGGCCCAGGATAACCAACAGGCTCTTGGCCTATTCCTGGCCCTGCCGGAGGAGTGAGCACAGCCTGGGGATTGTTCTCTGTGAGTACTTGGGAAGCAGGCACCTTGCTTTGGAGACCTATGAGGTTAAACGGCGTGGGTGTAGCCAGAGAATAGGCCTTAGATGTTTTTAATTCCTATTCTAGACACGGCATTTCAGACTAGCCCAGTCCTAAGCCCTTTTGATGACAGAAGTGATGTAGTTCCAGCATCATATCGGCAAAATTGTGGGGAAGAAATTAAAAAAGGTTTGAACAAGGAAGAGAGACATACCTAATTTCAGAAGAGATTTTAATACAAAAGCAGAAACATTCAAACTCAGAACTGCACAGTGGAAGACTTTTTGCCCCAGTACGCATAGCAGAGACCTGTGTTAATGAAGTGAAGGGATCTGGCAAGATCTGTGAGGAATTCAAATGAAAATTAGGTAATGAAGCACCTGCATTTATTGTGGGGTTTTAGTGAGCGATTGGAACATCCCTTGTTAGGTGAGACGTGTATCTCTAGGAAACAGAAGCAATTAGCAGGGTGTTCTGACAAGTCTTCCTAAACTTACAGGTTTTGTATCAAAGCTCAGAGAAATCTGGCTATTGAGGCCTGCGCTGAACTTCTGAAGGTACTTCAGGATCCCACTGTGCAAAAATATTTACGGCTTGGCATTCTCTGCTTGTTACAGATATGCTAAAAAAGAGAGAGTTTGTGTGCGTGCTGGGTAAGTGATTTTCCTGAAAGAGAGCCAGGGAAGTTGCTTGAAAACATTTCCCTAAGAGATTTTTCAACCAGCTATAGTTTTGCAGGGTGAAACAGGGTAACCTGACACAAGTTATTGTTTCTTAGTCACTGGACAAATTTTAATCACTGGATTAATAACATGGTTTGAAATCTGTGAGCATAGGCCTTGCACAGAGATACTAGGACACTTTCAAACTTCCCTTGATGTTTCCAGAGTTTAAGTTTGAGTTTCAGAAAAAAAAAATGTAATGCTTGTGTGCGTTGATCTGTAACCGTGCCTCTTCACCCTGCTGTAGGGAGAAGGTTAATGAGAGGACTGAAGAAAGACTGATCCACAGAATACGAAGCCCTCTCATAGAGGACTATGAGAAATTTTGGTGGGCTCTTTTGAGCAAAGTATTGCTTGTGAGCTCTAAATGAATCCAGGTCCTGTGAAGCGTTGATCTGCCCCAGAAAGTCTGAGCCCACATAGTCTTAACCAAAGAGTACTGGAGAGTCATTGCTGAAACTTATTGCCTGATACATGCTTCGATCGATAACTATATCAAAAGACACATGCAATTTTTGGACGCTGCTTCCGAGCCTGGATTGGTCCTCCTTAATGTTAGACAGAGGTGCTTTAGAAAGAAGCCATTTAAGCTCTGAACTGTCCTCTTTAGATACCTCTCTCTCCTTGGTCTAACGAGGCAGCCTGGGGTGACTGTGCTACTGAAGCAGGTGCCTTGGCTAAGTGCCTAACTAGGTAGAATGAATGCAAGTTTTCCTGCCTATAGGTATGAAATATACTTGGGAAGTAGTCTGCCAAGTTTGAACAGGACATCCTTAACATCAATTATGGATGCCCAAGCTCTCCCGCTTTAAGAGTCATGCTGGAACCTCAAAAATCCACTGAATAGATGCAGTTCTCTAAAAAGAAAGCTTTTCGTGAAAGAAAGTAAAATTGAAGTTAGTGTCATCTATTTTTTGTATTTTTCCTGATGAATAACTGAATAGTGCAGTCATCCCCTCCAGCCACTGTCACTGCAGTTACGTGTCTCTGATGCTACGTTGTGTTTGGAATCTAGTGGTTTTAATACTCACTCGCTGCAAGGGGATTCACTAGCAAGGCAGGGTGCTCTTTTGGTTTCTCACTGGCAGAATTTCAAGGAGGCAGAGGAAAGCAAACGAGGCTGAAAAGGAAAGCCCTGGATGCCCCAAAGAGTGGGGCTACAGGGAGCAGGGAGATGCAGACGATCTCTGCTGCTCAAACCACTGAGGCTCTGCAACTGCTTTCGCTGGAAGCGGGGAAGACTTGAGCAGAGATTTGAAGTGTTGTGGTTCACCTCCTTTAGAATTCAAAGAAATATTTTAGTGAAGAGCCTGCTTAACTGGAAGTGGTGAGAAATGTAATGGCTTGTGTGTCTTTAGGAAGTCTTCTGCTAAACATGGTGCCTTCTGGTCCAAAGGCTGGATCTGGGGTCTAGTGGACACTTCTCTGCACATACAGGACTCTGGTATGTGCATAGGACTGCTTTTAAATGGCAGATGTTTGGCAGTTCTGTGTGCCTTCTCTGTGCTTGTAAACACACAATTACACTGTGTATGTGTGGGTGTACTTTTAATATTAAGATACAGGATGTTTGATCAATAAAAATACTCTGTTCTTTTGTGTGTATCTTTGCTTGGGGAAAGTGAGACTTTATTATTGCTGTGTGGCTTGAAGAACAAGGCTCATCAAAATATATAGGGGCTTAGCTTTTATCTTTTTCCCCCCATTGCATGTAGGCCTTCGTTTCTAATATGCACCAACCTTTGGGGAGATGTTCAAAAGCAAAGTACAAGTGTCTCAGCAGAGCATGCAGCGCAGCTACAAGTTGTGCTTCTAAAGCTTGGAGGTGCCTTTGCGAATCATCCTGCTATTGACAGCCTCAACAGAGAGCCTCCAGAGGGACCCTACATGTCAAGGTTGGGACATGTTAGTGGAGCAGTGAAACCCAAAGCTGTTCTTTGAAGCTAAATCTGTGCTAGCAAATGAAAGTGCCAGGGAACCTCTGTGGGCACTGGAGCTCCGTCACCCATATGATTAAATTGGTAGCACAGTCCCTGGTTCTGCTGTGGACCAGGCCAACTAGCACTCCCCCAAACAGCTTCTGGGCTTGGTTTGGCATTTGTCACTGGCCAGGGATGGTTTCCAATAGGCAGGTTGGATGTGAACACTCTATTTTGGAGGATAAGAAGGTTTACGTGTATGGACGTGGGCTGCTCCAGTCCAGTTGGCCATAGCGTCAAGAGAAAGGGCGTATTTAATTTACCGTGGCAAACGTAGCCTGACATCAACATTCAAAGCGCACTGAAACCTATGATCAGGCCCTGAATATGCAGAGTATTTCAATCTGCAGGGTACCTGTCAGGATCATTAAAAAATTGCACACAAACCCAATTATTTCTCAGGTAACATGCTGATTTCATTTAGACCCCTTAAGTATAATTACCAGGTAGGCTGCAGGAACATATAATTAGAGGGAACTGACATACTATTTAATTGGTCTAACATGAATTCCCTCTAACTGAAATCTGGATTCACTAGTATTATTCAAACAATTCAGGGTTTGTTCATCCCCCTCGCTTCAGAGACAAAAAACCATGTGGGATTCTGTGTCGTTGTAAGCTACGAAATATTTTCTCTGCGTGCCAGACTTTCTGGAGGGGCTGTGTGGTCTAATCCTAGCTGGGAGCAGGATCTCTGGGTCTGCTGAAGCCATACGGAGGAAAAGACTTCCCTTTTTTGCACCCCAGCAGTGCCCTTTCAGCCGATTTTACCAGGACTGGTTGCTATTATGGCTATTGTCTGAGCAGAGGTTGATCTGCCCCTGCTCAGCATCCGTTTGCACATTGTGTCTTTTTGGTTGGTTGCTTTTTTTTGCTTTAGACTTCAAAGGTGTTGATGCTCCTGGACAAAATGGGGATATAAAGGCTTGCCTGTCTCTGCAAAGGGCCTTGCTTAGAGGGAGAGGAGTTGCCCAAGTGGCCACTCACTGGCGCTGCTATTGGGAGAGGAGAGAGCCCTGCTTGTGTGGCTTCCCCCATGAGTATCCACATAGTCCTTTTCCCTTGCTTTGGTGCTTGCCTCCTTCTCACTAATACGCTGCCATTGCCACTCTGTACTGGACACACTGTCCCCTTGTCACCTCTGAAGGGCCTGAGTCACAGCCTCTACAAGCCTGCTCTGAGGCTTCAGCCCTAGTGATATTTTCTCTCTTTCCTACCAGGCGGTCGCTGCTCTAACATGTGACTGCAAAGACTCTGGGAAAGAGGATCATTTTTCTCCATCCACTAGCTGTTTTGTTCTGGGTTTTATTTCATTTTAAAATGTTGTGTGGGGTGGCTGGACATGGAAATTGAAGGCTGGTGGGTATGAGGCCTCCCTATATCAAACCTCCCAGCGATGCAACAAAGTGCAGATCCAGACTTTGCCAAAGGATCCAGACTGACCCCTCTGTTCACAAGACTAAAACCTTTGAAGTTTCAGAAAGCCAGGATTTTGCCCTAAGCTCTGATTGCAGCTCGAGCCCCTCTATAACAACAATACCAAACCGTT